AAGATAGAAATTTAGTTGAGGATCTAGGAAGGAGTGTGAGGTACAATGCAATTGTCGTGCTGAATTTTCTTTGATTTCTGGTATCTGTAGGACATGTAACTTACTTATCCAGTGGTCAACCTGAATTCCAGGTAATTTAATCTTCGTCTATGAACCTGTTCGATAGCCCTGATCAACTATAATAGCTATGCCACATTGTTCATATAAATTTTTAATTGCAAGATTAAGTAATACGCTTGCATGATTATCCACTATCAGTGCATATGTACACAAAGTAAACCTTTCACGTATAAGAAGAGAAAGAGAAGCCTAGTGCGTAACTAAACTGCGTATTTTAATCATTATCTTTGTGATAAATAGTCGGGCACCGTTTTCGTGTTTATCCGTCGCTAATAAGGGTACCCCTGTGACCAAATATAACCCCTGAAAGAGTAACAGATGTGAAGATGGGCACTTTGCAATCCATATTCAGTTATCATATCCTAGAACAAAATGCATTTTCAAACTGTGGTCAAGATTGACTATACTGCTGAGTTGATATATAACACGTGCCAAGCAGCAGTTGAAGCGATCACTGTCAATGATCGCGCATGGTTATGCTGTATCCATTCGACGAATAGTACGTGTTGGTAGAAAACCTATCAGTTATATAAAGTCCATTGAATTCCATTGCTCAAAAACAGGTACATTCGTGTCCTGAGCAGCATTAAAAGATTCACCAACAGCTCAAGTCGAAATGACTTTAATAAAGCTAGAGTTTTGTGCGCCTCTCAACACTTAAGTTGTTTGATCTACATTAGATTATCACAATCATGAGCCATTTCCTCACCCTTCGGCTGAGCGTAGATGCCGAGCTCTTCAGAATGCTTAACACGAGCGCTTTTATCCTTTAAGAGCAAACGTCCATCCGGATTCAATAGTCATAGTTTAACTGCACGATAGGGAGGTTTGATTTGCGACGCATCAGGATGTGTACAATAATCGTGCTGCAGGTCGCGAGGATATATTTGCAAAACGATCTCCTTCATCTACCCTACTAGACGCATTGGTGGAGACTAGTATGCAAGAGTTTCATTCGTAATTTAAGGGAGAAGCTATCTCACCAGTTTATGTTTTGCCTATTACTCCGAGATATGTTCAACTCTGACAAAAAAAACGTTGTGGCTATTGGATGCCGCAAACACGACGAACCATAACAATTACGCACTATTTACAGTAACGGAACCATATCATGTAGCAATGCCTTCACGCTTACGTATTGTTATATGTGCCGTGACTATACCGCTTATTACGCTTGGGCAACCGAGCGCTTACGAGTAGAGTATTATTGGTTTGACTTTAATACAACATGTTAGCAATTTACCGAGGGCTTACAATCACGTCTTCTCTTGATACCATCATCCCGCAATCCGAAATTTGCTTTGTTTAAGGCATATAAGCAAAACGTATTCAAGCAAAAAGTGGGGTGAATTCAAAATGCACAATACATTTGATACAGAAATGTCGATTCAAGTTGCCGTCATTTTTGCGAGGGACTACACGGAGTACGTAACGATGCACATATTACTTTTACGTAGCACTCCGCCCTACTTAATTTAAAAAAAAATCTGCGACGTGTACACAAAGAGAAGTTCGTGGGTGTAGGGAATATCAGAAAATCATAATAGTGGCATCTGTCAGCATCTTTAGTTTAAAGCGCTTACTCGGCACTCAATATAATTGAATAATGTTTCGAAGCGTAGATCGAATGTGTTCAAGCCGACATTCATCAGGTGCGCTCAGAACATCCGACTATAGCGCGGCAGACAAACACCACGGAACGAGCACCTGATGACATACGTGTGGATGCACATTTTCAGAGGTGATGAGGAATATGAGTATCTCGGTCTAAAACTATTCGTTGAAACGTTCATACTGCGCAGCGCGTCAATTGAACAATTTACGGGTATATATCAAACTAAAATGGGCCTTCTCTGCTCACATTCCTTTTTTTAGCTCAAAGTTTATCCACCGCGCTTGCTTGAGGCGCGTGCTATTATGGCCACTATTGGTTAAAAGTACTACGCCTACTGTCTTCGGCGAGCGTTGTAAATGTGGAAGGCGCTATAAAAACGTTCGGGTGATGTACATGCGGATCCAGGTGCCCATCAGAGACAGATGCATTTTAAGGTCTCTTGAATTTAAAATATGAGGATCTTTCAATGGTAAATAAACTGGAATGTATTCAAGTACGCGGTCCATCATCGTCGAATCGACGAACCGACCACTTCTTAGATCGACGCAGCAGTCTATTTCGGAGTTCGAGCAAGTTGGCCGGGTGAATGAGCCAATTCTAGTTGCTCGGGTTTTTACATGCGTCGTTGCGCTGAACACAACGAGCCAAACTGACCCTCCGCGTCGCAAGATGCTATCTGAGCCACGGCCAAGAATAGAGCAAACACGAAAGAATTGACATGTAAAAATGAATAAAATGAATACGCAACCTCGGCATTTTTTATCCAAAAAAGTTACGAAATGCCAAAAGCGTTATATACATGCGATGACGTTTATGGAATAATCGTATAACATTTGGGTTAGCAAACAAGTGATATACAATGAAGCACATTTATATATTATTGTATTATGTTTGGGTTAAACTGCACCACGCTATTCAAACACGCCTTTCCAAGATCCATTTGTGAAAAATTACCAAATATTTAGTAAATGTTACATTCAAAGTAGACCCACAACGGTCCATTGACATCACTATTTGAGCGAGCAAAAGAATATACACAATTTTAGCCGCCAAATGAGATGCAATAATATGGATGTACGGACACCAATCGATGCGTTCGTGAAAAAATTTAGGTTACCGTATGGAAAAGGAACACGGTCAACAGGTTCAAGAATACGAAGGAATTCAAGCTGTAGTATAATATCACAATAAAAACTCCGGACTGCACAAGCTCACGCAAAATAGCTGAAATCTTTGGAGGTACAATTTTCTAAGTATTGGTTTAAAAAGTAGGTTGGGACTGTGGGAGCTTGTCTTGGAGGCAAGCTTGAGTGCGTTATAATAATAATAATAGGTGTCTTTATTGTGATGTGCCATGATCAGAACTATACCAAGCTCTTACTAAGGTCATACACGACGACGCATCTGTAGCCTAAAAGCGCCTATAACGTCATCTTATTAAAAGCCATATTCGAACACCTGTAACACCCAGTAAAGTCGCGCTTTGACTACAATTAACGATCCCAAATAGACCACGGCAGCAGCGTCGTTTGTTTTACACGACCACCCGGCACTGTAGCGACTCGTGAAGCTGCACAAGGGCGAGGACGGCGGTCCGAGCGGTGCACGAAGGAGTCTTATCTGGAGAGCTGAAATTACCCCCCCCTTCTTTTGGCAATGTAAGCCCCTGATACATCCATTAGCGATCTTTTAAGTAACAATCTTACGATCAATCATTCATTATTAAATAGTGGCAGGCCTTCTCTTGACAAATATTTATACAACAGGAGCATGTAACGCCGTCGCAAACATTTTGAGCGTCGTAAATATCAGTGGATATCCAATACAGAGATCTTAAACATTGTTTACTGTTGATTCTATCGTAAACGTATATATCTTTTCTAATACATGCATGTAGCCAGACCTTCATTTGTTTTCTTTTCCTCTTCAAACACGTGTTTTTCATTTTTAATGTAGATAAGCTCGCGTAGCCGTCGCCTACTGTATCGCATTCGCTCGTTTACACGTAATGACAGCATCCAGTTCAGAGCAGCCAGACGACAGCCTAATTCCAAACATTGTCGTGTAAATGCACCAGAGAAAGCAATGATCCTGACGATGGGATAACTCAGACGTTACTCGAGCTTTGTCTGCAGCAAGTTGTGAAAATAAAAGAGCACAAAGAGTTGCTGCGAGGCATATCTTTTTGTGCTGTGTCTTTAGATACAGAAAATAATAGAGAGTGGATCATACAACTGCGTGCAATTGTTCATTTTAAGATTAAGTTCGTACAATATAAGTAATCTTAGATCGGCGTCATCGCGCTTATTTTTGTGCGTATTTAAAGATGTGTGTATACTTCACCCGACACCCAACAGGATTTGGCCCTTTTGTCCTGCAACGGCACCAAAGTAGCGGTGGCTGACTTTCAAGGAAACCCTCTCGTTAGTGAAGATGTGATTGCAATCAGTTTCCATTTATTACAACCGTAACATGCTCATTACTTAGTCGATGCCTCTCTCCGTTAAGCTGGGTAGCTACAAGAGCTCCTGTGAGACCGACGTATTTCCCCTTAGAGAGGGTCCTGGAACAGTGAGTCTTTTAAAAGCAGATCAAAATACCGATTGGTACGCATCGTTAAGACGAATTCATTTATTTGTAAAGGGCTTAGCTAGAATATGAGAATATCGGTGTTTCTTAATGTGAAATCAATTAAAGTGCAAGATACCAATACTCGTAATATTATTCGTCTCTAGGTCATTGATAATAGAAGCCAAAATCTCTGCCTGGGTCGAATTCGTTTATTCACGCATAGCCGCAGCGTAAATCGACACATAACTACTAGTACAATTTTTTACGGCTTCCGTAAGGTTCGTCGCGCGTGACCTTATTGTCGAATATGGCGTGTGTAACGGGGCAGAAGCCCGTTACGTTACTAGCACTAAAGTATTACGAGGAAGCGTAAGAGACGCACGTGCTGGCGTGTGTCGATTGTAGATTACTATTAACTCTAATTCTTATATTTAGGGAAACGTTAACCACCACCCAGGTTTTCGTTAACCAAGCCCCACCCCTATATATTACCGTAATTTACTTGATAGACGCGTTTCGATTGGAAGAACTGAATATATCACCGGTTTAAGCAGTAATTTACTATTTCATATAAAAATGATAAAACACTAAATCTAGATATTTGATGCATGTCTATAAGTCGACGACGTGTGATGATTTACATGTCAGATACTGCGATTATCCTGGATGGACACTGTAACAAAGGCATTCATTAATGCTACTTTCGAAATTGACTTTAAGCCAGCTGCAGAATTCTATCACGAGGTATGTGTGTAGTCGTAATACGTGTACAATTGACTTATTAGACTAACGCGTGATTTAATGATGGTAGTGGCTTAACCTCCTCCCACCGGCATGCACATCGCGGCTGCTCTCTATCCCACGCATTGTCGACTGACTCTTCATCCAACAGCGCGTCCTGCTCCAAATCAAAAAGATTCGAGTCAAAAGACGAAAAGGGCGAGATGCCAAATAATGACCGGGCTCGTGTGGTGAGGGTGAAGCCTATCGATCAAGGTACTGCTGTTGCGGAAGCTTCCGAGATGCTCGCTGATAGCCAAGCTGCTGTTGGTGATGACTAGCGCGTTCGCTCTAGCGCTAGCTCTGTGGAGAAGAGGGACGTTGCAGATACTGTGACTGATACGCCGGCGACGAGTGGAGGTGTTACACTAAAGAAGTTCAAGTTCAGCGGAGAAGAGTCAAGTAACTACGCAGAAACCTGCAATTTTCTTTTGTAGGTTAGACAAAGGCAGTAACGACTTTTAGCCTGGGGACAACAATATTGCAACTTAAGAGACACGGTGAAGCTTCGCTGAAGGAAAATACAACCAAAATAAGAAGAGCGATCAATCTTCTAGCGGGAGAAGTTGCGGTCTGATAACAGCTGGTATTAAGGTTAGCAGAAGACAAAAATTATTGTGAAACGCTGGAAGAGCGAAAGAGACGAATAGTAGCAGAAGCTCAGGAGAGTGAGCGCGTCCAAAAGATTGTCGAAGAGATGGACCCGCTGGATGCCGCTTTATGGCTGGTCTCGTCGATGGGGTAGCTATAAACAAGTTCATGAGCTCGTTGCACTTCATGTCATATAAAATCTAATTTGGTAAGTATCATCAACGGCAACATTCCTCTCACAGAGGACAGTAACAGGGCGCAAATAATCCGGCAAAAAACTATCTTTCTTTCGCTTTACACGTTCAGCTTCCTGAATCGCATTCAAGTTTGGGTCGCTCGTGCGATCGATGTTGACCAATACACGTTGTACCAGTCCATCATTGGCATCCCTTTAGTAAATTAGCGGCATTGTTTCAGCGATGATTGAGGTCTGACTTGCAAAGCGATTTAATGTAATAGCAACCCCTACAACATTATCATAGTCCCACGTGCAATCGCTTTCATCCGAAAAATTGTTTTGCACAATTTTCAGCTTTGTATCGCTGAGCATTAGAAATTAAGCTAGTTGACCTGAAGTAGCCACCACAACATACACCCCGCAATAGAAAATAAAGTTCGTTTGATGCCGCTTTTTGTCTCTGAAATTGCTGCCTTCAACTCTACACTCTGACATAAACACGTAGCTGGTAAAGTGCTTCAGTACATTAAACGTCTGCTTCATAAGCTCCCATGGCGGGCCTTAAATCAGATAAAATGGAACTTTGTAACTAACAATCGCATTCTTTGCATAACCTTCGATCGCTAGCATCATTAATGGCAGATTGAACCTCGTCATTGCCAAATATTCTGCAAATACAAATAAAATCATGTCGAGTCGTTGGAGAATACACGGTGTGGATCTAAGGTAAATCAGCGTTAGCCCCAGGATGTTTTTGGACTTAAACACTTCCGTAATTAGACGACAAAATCCAAATAAAGTCGAAAAACTTGATGAAGGGCGCCATGTCTTCGCTAACTACCATTTTCCCCTTCTTGCAACTGGTTGGGGGGATTTAGCGCGACCTCTGCATGCTAGAAGAGCGATAGATCGCGCTCTGTGCTTCCAAAACGACGATTTAGGGCACCGACTGGCCTACCACGACTCTTATTCCGCTCAGGATCACGCACGTCATCGGGCAGCGCCAGAACATGTTCGACGATCTCTCTTTTTCGGTTTCCGGCGGCAATTGAGTACTCTGTTGACACCTTAGCCCATGCTGTTGGCAAGTCGACCACATTGTGTGGATGAACTATCCTGGGCGGCTGCATCAGCCACCAATGTTTGTTGAAATCATCAAGAGATAGCGATACGCGTCTAGCGGAGAAGTAATGTCGGCAAGGATATCCCATCACCTACATTAACAAGCCTGCAAAAACGTTAAATGATTATGAGCTGCACATTATGTTATATGCTGTGAAATCTTTTATACGTACCTTGGCATTCAATGACGGCTTCATTTTCATCGACATTATTGTGAAATCGATTTTTGTATTGGCGAAAGGCTGCGCGCAGGCCAGCTTCCGAGATCTTTCCCATGACGTCGGTAGATATACTACTAAATCGCATGTCAAACGTCGCTCACTCTTTTGCGTGCTGTTGCTTGATACGAGCCAGATGTCCATCGCAAGCTAGCTTTATAGCATTGTTGACAGACAGTAGATCGCCTGTCGAGGATTCAATCCAGCGCTTCAGGGTAGCATGCGCACTTTCCACGCGAGACGTGGTGACATGTCCATAATGCTGCTTGAAACGGAGAAAACAGGTCACAAATTTCTCTTTCCAATACAGCCAAGTTTCGTCGATATATCGAACGACCTGCGGATGCGATATTCCACAGCTTTCGCGCATACTTTTCCACTTATCTTTGAACGTCTCAATCCGATCTTGTGACACCAAGATGTTCCAGTTTTTAAAAAAGGCCTCCCAAATTATCGATAGTGGTGAAGGACTTCTTGTGTTTGGCCAAAATGTTCTTCGATATATGCCAGCGGCAAAGCATCCCGTTCACATCCGGGAAGACTATGTCAATCGCGCCCATCAAGGCCGGCTCTCGGTCTGTTATAAATGTCTTAGGAATAATAACCATCTCGCAAAATTCCTGTTGTAGCTTTTGCATCGCCCAGACGTAGTTTGACTCTCGTTCTGTTTGCATATAGCAGTATGCCAGAGTAAAGGTATATTCGAGTGCAGGTGACTCCAACGATATGATGCGAGGGTAGTCCATACCTGTTGGTCTTGTACGTAGAGTCCATAAGCCATACTACCCCGGCAGTATATCTATAACAAATCTCCTTGGCCGATGGAGAAACGACAAAAAGGTGTGACAGTTTCTGTCCATCTTCTTCACGTGCAGTTTAATATTTGACGCCTGGAGTAACAAGTCCATCAATCAGTGAATGTAGAGGTGTTCTACCTTGTAGCTTCAGAGCGCGATCATTGTTACGGATGCTGTAAATATCTTGGGCGGTGACATTTATGCTGCTTTCATTGCGGAGAGAAGCGACAATAGTACCAGGTTTGACACCAGCACTGGTCAATAAGAGAACTCGCTCGCGAGCCTCTTCGTTCAACGCGCGACCATTTGGATGTGCAGAGGAGTCATCAAATGCATCGTGATTGTGGTTCCCTCTAATGACTGTAACGTGCCAGCGCTCATCTATGCGTTGAATGACAGCTTCAAAACGGTACCCAGTGCTTCTACTAGCCCTTATGCGCTTGATAGTTCTCGTTTCTGGTGCTTCGTTAACAGCAACTGGCTTGTATTTATTTCCCTGTGAACACCATAGGATAATACGTTTAATTGCGCCATATTTCCTATTACCCACCTTCTTGGTACGCTTGATCGTTAGGACATACCCTTGAGCTCTTGCATGTTCATTAAGTGCCTTTCATGCTTCCTCTAGCGTATCGTATGTAGTTTCAGGAGGTGGTAGCAGAGCCATAGAAGAATTACAGACTACGGTGTTTAAGCGCTGAAAGAAATTATTCAACAATTGAAAAAAAATGTGTAAGCGATTACATGATGCAATTATTGTGATGGAATTGGCTTTCAGTATTTAGCAATATGATATTTTACTTATAATCAATCAAAAATATGAAAGGTACATATATTACGGTGATATATAGGGGGTGGGGGGTGGTTAACGAAAATCTGGGGAGTGGTTAACGTTTCCCTATATTTATATGTTTATCCTAAATCATTTTAAGTACGAGTGGTCTCTAGACCACGAGAGCCACTCTAAAAGTTGCATCCTATTGGCTAAAAATGAGTCTGTACCCACTTTTCAGCAGAACAGGACTACGACACACTGTAGCTACTACACTTGTCTATAGTGTATACCTACTATGTATTTGTATACTCGTGTGAGTATGCCTTTATGTATTTCAGTTAAAATGGCTTTTAACAAAGATTGTAGCGGTAACTCCCCGATACAGCGTGAGCTGGACATCTGTCATAGAGGGTCTTCTTTGCATCTTTTGCAGCGCACATTTGGTAATAATACACGCCTTTCGCACTTTCATAAAGAATTATGTAGTGCACTACATGAAAGTACTTTATTGACAAGTAGGAAGAAAATTTTACGGCACAAATTAGTATTTATAAGGTACCTTACACTCAGTTGCTTATGATAATAGTGAGTTTCACACTTAACCTGGTTTACAGTGGAGTGACCTTGTCACTTGTTTTTAAATGTCCACAGAATCTACACCACCAATTCGATGTAGTGTTAAAAGCTCCAGTTTTATTTCGTTAAAAATATGTGTTGCGGATTGAGTCCACGAATGCGCTGTATTTCACATATCGCCGTAACGCAATATCCGATTTGCTCGTATACTTTCTATCGAAAGGTCTTTGTCGTTCTTTCGACATTTACAGTGTGCAGCCGATTGACTTGCGGGATGGTGTAAGTATACTACGCACCACTAGACTAAATCAAACCTGTATTGAATGTTGTAAAGCTGGCAATGCCAAATCAGCAAAATTCGATTTTCCAACTAAATGCATTCGACAAAAACCTGCAATTTGTAAGTTTTCTTGAAACACAAAACTTGTAATTTGTCTCGAAACACAAAATGTTTTAACTTGTAAAGCCATCATTTTCTTTTTGATACCTTCACTATTTTTACAGGATCTCATAATTATACACAGAATGTTTTGCGACCCATTTATCGTACTTTACCTTGCCTTTTTTAAGAAATAGATTCAAGTGACTGACCTATTTCTTTTCTATAAAATACATTTTAATGTAAACGATAGGGAGATAAATGCGGCCTAAATTATACTTTATCACATTGCAAAACCACATTGAAAATGAAGCTGCCAATTTAATGGAGTCTCTCGAAACACAGGTCCCTCATCAGGTATAGTTACCACACGGCTTAACACTGCTTATATTAAACGTATACTCCTGAAAACACCAGATTACCGTATTGTATAGAAGATTGTGTTTCATGGCAGCAAAGCACGCGATTACCATAGTAAAGTCTTTTAAAAGGGAGGCGGTTCTGCTATGCTCCCAAGTTTCATCCATGGTGGTGCTTGATCGATTTATGTAGGCCGTCGCACGCGCAACGGCTGCGAAATCGACTTAAACTAAAAGGATACTGATACAATTTATAAAATTCAAATACAGCGAAAAAAGTTTTTGACGAGGGCTTTTACTACAAAAATTATAAGGATCCTTTTTCAAGCGTTGAAGTATACTAGGGGTTACTACGAATAAATAATATTCGTCATAGTTTTGTGCCAGCGTTTTTTAATTACAAAAGGGTTATCGCGTAGAATGGGTGCCGTAAACGTCCACGTGTAAACTAAAATTTGGTTTTATTATTGCCTTTTGCGAGCGCTACCACCATTAATTGGGTTCACACATCGAACACTTACATAACATCCGATAGAAACATGGTTTTAAAAAAATTTGTGAAATAAAACACTTCCTCTATTGAGACTCATAAATAGTTCATCTGTAGAATACATACTATCCATCTAGGCTTTATTCGAACGAATTCTTCATTTACTTCAAAAAATCCTAACGCATATATACAATTATAGAAACATTTAGAAATTTAAAAATGACAGTATTAATAGATGGTGATGAAAACATATGTTTTACATTTATTTGCATTTGTTTATTTTCATACAATTGTAAATCGCTTGTGATAAATCATCTGAATATATGTTTTCTGTCATATTATATATTGTAACTTTGTCAATTTTTTTATTTATGTGGCACACTTTGAGATTGACATGCAATAGTTCAAGGACATTGTATTCGACCGTTTCAATTGTGACCATTTGTTACATAAATATATATTGAATGGGCAATGTATTTTAAAGAAGCAACATTACGAACGCTGGATGACTAGACACCAGGGACGCGGCAAACCATGATCTTGCAGCTGCACACAAGCAGTGTCTTTGGATACCTTAGACACGGATATTACACTTAAGGTGCTGGGCTGGGATCCTTGTTGATTTAGCTACTGTAAAATAAAGATTGGTTTTGGGCCGCGACTGGGTACCCTTATCCTCACTACAGCCGCGATCCCTTGTATAGGAACACTCTAAAAAAACTTGCGCATTGCAGTATCCCGTAGAGTGTTTGGTGTTCGAACAAATAAAGTTTCGAGCCATTATTATTTCCTACTAGAGAAAGACTGTTCTGCATTAAGCGTCTGTGACGTGCGGAGTGTGTCACAAGAACGATGTGGAGTGAATACTGATAGCCTTAGCTGTATTTATTTTAGTACGACATTTTAAAAAGATCAGCGGAGATTATAGATGCTTGGACATTGCGGCAGTTTGTGACGTGTGGTGTGTGTCACAAGAACGATGTGGAGTGAATACTGATAGCCTAAGCTGTATCTATTTGAGTACGACATTTTATATTGCTGAGTGGAGATTACAGATGCTTGGACTTTGTGGCACGATACATGAAGCGAGCTATAATTTACAGTTTAACGAGTTTTACAGAGCAAATACAATCTGTACACCACCACTTCACCAGATACGAATTAGTACAAGGTAATTAACCAGCACGTAGGATGCTAAACTTCAAACTGATAACAAAGTAAATTATCCGCAGGCGTTTGGAAAGATTTGACACGTGTCCAGATATTGTGATTCAATTCGTCTCCTTTTAATGGGGTTTAAGTTTTGTGGAAGCTGTGATTTTTGCAGTAAAATTGACAGTGACTCCTCATGAATGAAAATATTACCATAATAAAGGATCAGTCTTGTTCATCGTATATGGCGGCCATGATCCAGCCGATGGGTGCCTCCGTCATCTCAACATTTTAGCTAGGCTACAGCTGCTACCGTTCGTAAAATGAGTACAGTACAGACGAGCGCGTGGCGGTCGGCAACAAAAACCATTCAGACGACCTCCTGTCATGCGCTGGTGACGATAGCCCTCGGTAATCATCACGTTACGCTAAAAGTAAGCCTGATGTTAACCCCCTATGCTCATAAGCTTGGGAAACGTTATTCACAGTCCGGCTTTTGGTTTCCTACCCCCATCCCCATTCCAACAAGTTACTGTATATATTCGATTTAAGTCGTTTGATCAACAAGAACATATATCAATATTTCAGAAGTATTCCAAGCAAATTTTTACAGCTACATTAAAGCAGTTCTAAATCCTCTTACGCGCGCATGTCTTATCAGGCGGACTGTACTTACGTATAATTCAGCAGCTATATATTTTATACAGTGGAACTTGAGCAGCAAGGAGTAGCGTTTTCCGGCGATAGGGAGTAGCTCCCCATATGAGTAAGTTAAATGCGCATGAGTCTATAAAAATCAATAGCGCTTCACCACCACTCGAACATTGTCTATACCAGAACATGAAGGGAATGGCAAGACAAATCATTGAGAGACGTTACCGCTAAGCGTCATGGGAAAGGTAGAATTTTCTCAAAGAGGCCTAATGTTGTTCTTTTACGCTTGCCCAAATCTTCGATAGTCCAAAGAGGACTATTAATACATGTTCCCAAATTTATAAACAGCATGTGTAGCTGCAGGTAAAGGTCAAGAGGAATTGTAGGTTAAAATATATTTTACGAAGTTACCAATGACATAGATAATGCTATTCTCGTCTTTCCACCACAATAGGATGTAGACATGAGTCTTTCTATATATTCAAAACTCTCAGCACATTTCTGTAAGCAAAGCAGGCGAGCTGAATATCAAACCGCATCGACTGCGCGGAAAAGATAAAAAGTGATGCACATATGTGCAGTGTACTCCAAATCTAAACGTGTTTGCTCGTGTCAATTTGTTGACTTGTGTTGACACTGCGCTTCAAGTATCTTGCGCGCACGCGTGTGAGCGAGATTTGTGATTTATTAATGGCAGACGTGCTGCTCTTTCGGTGGCTGCGCGGCCGACACTCATTCTTTGTATAGAGCAAAAGACGTCAGGCAAAGAAAATCGTGGTAAAGGATAGCGAGCTGTACACGGGCCCGAAAAATTCGGAGGTCGTTGAAGGCAGTAATATGTGATTCGCTAATATGGATGCTGGACCTATTTGCCACGAAAAGCAAACTTTGCGGCTGTGCTGTAGGATGTGACTGACAAGCGCACGTACTATAAAAAGAGATTAAGCGAGTCGCTGTTCAACACGTATGACGGAATGCACCTCGGCGTCTGAGCACGCAGATGTAATAAAGAACTCGATGATTGGGCTTCATCAAAATTTTAGCGGGATACCGGAGCAACACACTGGACGACCAGGGAAGAGTAAATTATACCGAAAGCAGTGTGAGTAATGCCTCGCTACCTCTGCAAACTACGCAGAGCAAGGCAAAGCATCAAGAACTGACTAGTTGGTGGTAAAGGCCAAACTGTATTTATTAAAGGTTAACGTAAAGCACCCCCAGGTTTCCGTCAATTACCCCACCCCTATGCATTACCGTAATTTTAATACTTCCATGTTTATGATCGGTCATGATAAAACGTCACATTTCTAAATAATGTCAGCTAATCCCAACACGATAATTGCATCCTTTCTTCTTTCGCTTTTGCGCTACTTTTTCAAGTGATGAAGAAAATTATTCAGCGCTTAGCACCGAAGTGATTCATTCTCATATAGCTCTTCTACCACCTCCTAAAACTACATATGATATGCTGAAGCAAGCCCGTAGGGCGGCACTTATTGAACATGCAGAAGCTTAAGCTTATGTCTAAACGATTAAACGTACCAAGAGGATGGGTAACAAGAAATATGGCCTAATCAAACGAGTTATCTATGATTTAGCAAGAAAATAGCTACACGCCAGTTGCTGTTGACGAAGAATCAGCAACAAGAATGATCACGCGCACAAGGGCCAGCAGAAGCACTGGTTGCCGTTTTGATGATGTCTTTAAAGGAATAGATGAGCAATTATTTTATGGTGTTCACAGATTAGTATAGACAAGCCAATCTCTGTTTTGAAATATGCTTTTAGCTTCAACACTAAATTTGCGAGTGGAAAAGTATCCAATAAGAACCTTGTTTATGGCGGTCCTTAATGACCAAAAAGATGTATCCGTAACAACAACGTTCGTACCGCAAGCGACAAAGTTGGTAGCGCTCAGTGAGCCATCCTCGTTGATGCCGATGATCACTGCTGTCATGTTAATCAGCTTAGATTAGCCACTTAACTGCACTGAGCACCATGACAAGAAGGAGTGTGCGTCAATACTGCGGACAATCTCCGTTTCATTCAAAACGAAGTCAATTGTGGTGCCCAGCGTATGCAGGCTACCTATCCGGGGAAAACCAATCGACAAAATCTCAGTCCGGCTCTTTTCAGACGCCGCGTAGAGACTACCACCATAAAATACGCGTCAATCTAGTTAGTCAATTGAACAGGTATTGCGACAATTGAAGATCCTCTCGAAAGACCTCTGCGGCTGGCTTGCAGTCAATTTCAATTATAGTATTGTCGGATGCCTTTAATACATTTCTCATCCAAGATGTTCGCTACAAGTCCAACCTGTTCCAGAATCGCTCGTATATATTCTCATTTGGCCGAGTCATTACTCGGTCAAATGAAGTAGCTAAATAATGGATTACTACACGTCGCTGACTTAATGACAAAGCATAAAATGTTCAGATTTAGGGGTTTATCTTATTTTTATGTAATGGTGAATTACTTCCGAGACCGGTGGTATTCTCAATCGTATCAATCCACTTCCCTATCTGCGACGCAGCAATCCTATCGGATCACAGAGAAGTACAAACTCGTTTTCGTTGGCTTACAGTAGGCTAAAACCTGGCGCTATGACGCCGTGCGAACCTCTACCTCCGGGAGGTGGGGATGACCCGAACATAACACCCGCCCTCGACGCGGCTCCCCCGCGACTGTTCCGTAGCCGACGACGCGCACGTGGGCGGCACCCCGGGCCGAGTTACTCGTACGGGAAGGGCGGCTGGGTCGGGCACCGGCGCGTCGGTTCTATCCCAGCTCCCGAGGCGATCCAGCCTTTCGATAGGGCCCGGAGGGTGAGGTCGAGCGCAATGTGTTTGGTCAAGAAGGCGTGCGGATCAATCATTCAGGCAGGGATGTTCCGTTAAAGACGACCCATCCCTCCGCGGTCTGCTAGAAGAGTCAGCGTCTCCAGGAATATTTGCCCAGGAAAACCCGGCCGAATCCGGACCTTCCGGGCCGCAGGTAGGACCACAGTCGGACCTAGCTGACGGCCTGTCGCCATCTATTCCTCCGCACCTGGTCCCCGCCTTGCGGGCTTCGTCGGCGGATATGTTTACAGCGTTGGTTAAGGACATAAAAGCGTCTCCACACGGCGGGCATGTCGACGCCAGAAACAAAAACATCCATCAGCTTTTTGCGGAGGCCTATGCGGCGGCCCTGGTGGGAGTAATACCTAAAGGATTATTTGAACCAACTTCATGTAGCAAAATTAAATGTATTAATACCGCTCCAACAATAATAAAAGGAAAAGTAAAATGCAAACTAAAAAAACGATTTAAAGTTGGATTATCTACAGCAAAACCACCCCATAACCAATCAACAATATCTTTTCCTATTAAAGGAATCGCTGAAAATAAATTAGTAATAACAGTCGCACCCCAAAAACTCATTTGTCCCCAAGGTAAAACATAACCCATAAAAGCTGTTGCCATCATTAAAATAAAAATAATTACACCTGAACACCATAAAGCTTCTCTTGGAGTTATATACGAACCATAATATAAACCTCTAAAAATATGTATATAAACTACAATAAAAAAAAAAGAAGCACCATTTGCGTGCATATATCTAATTTAAGGAATAATGATAAATATAACCTGTTTGTAATAAAATAATTTATTGACTTGAAAAAGAAAAATAGTTGTTAAACCATAAGGACCACATAAGGGTTGCGCTCGTTAAAGGATTTAACCAAATATTTCACAACACGAGCTGACGACAGCCATGCAACGCTTTCGGCAGAGGCGACCTCTTTACTCGGCTTGTTTTTGAGCAGGCTTTCGTCAAAAATTTCGGACTAATTGCGGACTGAAAACGGTTGGAGTTGGCCATTACGCGAGAGCTTTTCACCTCCAAATGAGCTTTCCGGGAGATAGTTCGCCGACTGGCGATCCAGATCAAGTGGGCGCAAGCGCTGGTACCTCACCAATGAGCTGCAATTGTTTGCGGCAGCCAGAGTTCCTCGGCGGCTTCTTCGCCGCCTCGAGCAAAAAAATTGGATTTTTTGTCTGATCTGGCTGTAATCTCCGGGGTGGACATGGCGCGGATCAGGGCTGTATGTGCGTCGCCGCAGGCCTAGGTGGGACAAACCCAGGTCCGAACGAGCATGAACGAAGAATGGGCGATTGCTCTCGATTAGTCGAACTTACCATAGCATGTCGCACTATGTCTGCTTTTCTTACCCATATCCTGCGCACTAAAGAGTGCCTTTGTCTGGTCTATGCAGGCTCAGGTAAAAGGAAGTTAATTTTAAACCTTGATAGCTCGTGAATATTCTGCTTCAGCCGATAGAGCACGATAGCGATCACCTAGAGAATCCTAGAATTGGCCGAGCTTGCACATGTCGATATACCAGCTCTGTATATAATGCTTCGCCAGACGAAAAAAATCAACTATAATCAAGCAACCAAGTCGCTTTATTATACTTCTTAACCAGGAGACGACCGGGCGGCATGCGGAGGTGCGCATGCCTTTTTCGGGATGAATATGCCGGCTTTAAAATGCTCACCGGTCAGAGACCGGCCCTATTTAGAATCCGACAGCGGGGGATCAATCGCCTGACGCAAAGGAGGCGGGTGGAGTACACTATCCACCACCACAATTTGACGCGGTTTGTCGAAATGGGATGGGTCGCGGCCTTTTTGAAGAAATCGATCCCGACGGACATGGTATTAGAGGTCCTCAGCATGAATACACCTAAATCCAGGATTTCGACGATCTGGCGGGTGACACTTTAGCTCGCTGGCTGCCTTACTTTCCTCGACGGCATTGTTCGGATACTATGGCCGGGAAGACCATCGTTGTGAAGCATCCGAATGCCTGCCGTCGTCTGCAGTGTCTCCAATGTGGCAACCTTGGCCACACCCTGGCGAAGTGTACTTTTGTCGACCTTCAGCTGCGCGGTCCCAGTGGAGTTGTCGTGACGGAAGGGGATGTCCAAGGTCTCGAAGATCCTGCCCGGCCTTTAATCAGTTTGCAATAATTATGGAGATAACGGCGATACATCAGGCGCTCCAGGAGGCTGCAGAGGAGCTAGCTCAGGCGGCAGTTATTCCACCTGAAAGTAGTAGTAGGGCGTCAGCGCCCCCTGCAACTGATTCTTCTTCAAAGGGTCAGCGTTTCAGTAGTGCTACTCAAGTTGACAAGGGGAGCAATTTTCCCATATCCAACCGGATTCGAGTCCATCGGCTTCGCACCTTTGGCTTACGAAAACATTAAAAAGGGACGCTCGCGAGGGCGATCTTCAGCGACCTTAGGCCGAGTAGGCACGAGAAACTAGTCCGGGCAGTCCGGAGGGTTTGCAGATTTGTACGAGCACGAAAAAAAAAACTCATGGTAGAGACGAAGGTGGGCCTGGATGCGACGGCAGCGGACAAGGTGCTGCCTTTAGAAGTGGTCGATGGGCCAATTAAGACAGAGATAGCCTTGGCCGGGGCGGGTTTGCGCCCGCTGCTTACGCTTTTAGATCATGTCCGGAGAGTCGCAGGGGCTGAGCGCGGGTTGGCTCCGCGCTCGGCGGGGCCAGTGTTACTGGCCCATCTGCTTCGGGAGCGTGATTGTTTCCACAAGCTTGTAGCGGATGTGATTCTATCGCAAACGGTTCTGCTGTCACTAAATGCGCAGGCAACCGCCCCCCCACGGACTCCTCGGATATGGCGTCACAACTAGGGCTGCATCAGGCTACCATCCCGGCTACGATAAATGTCTGGCCATGGCTATAGACCAAACGGCAACGGACGCGGCTCTTGATGGTCCCGAAAAGCATTTGGAGTGGCTGACCGCCAATTTAAAACGGGGAATTAAGCTTTCGAGCTTGCTGGACATGAAGGATCAATTTGCTCGTAATTAAAGGATTCTCGATTTGGCTGGCGTCGGCCGCGGTTGGCCTACAATGACCCAAAAGGAAACAGCCACGCAACTGCGTTGGTACCCCGAGGATTATGCGGCAAGTCCGTTAACCCAGACGGACATGGAGAGTCAGGTGAAATAGGACGGCTGTGACATGGTCGGTATGGCGGCCACATTTTTTTTACAGCGGACAATCTTTTTCGTCGAGGTTTTGGCGAGCGAGACCCACCCGTGGCGCTGCTGCAAATCTGCTCCTACAACAGTGACTCGTCATCGATGTAGGGTTGTGACGGCGACAGAATATTCGTTGAATATTATGGCGTTTATGGATGCGGTCATCGTGGCTTATATCGCTGATCATCGGCGCCCTACCTCCTTCTGCTTTAGCAGAATTATCAAAATTCCGAATTTTAAACACTCTAAGGAATCCAGTCTTCTGCCCGATCTGGCCGAGGAGATCGCACCCCGGGCGCGTACGGATTCCGATCCCCTTGCAAGTCCTTCTACAGGGGAGGCGATACCGCCTAAGGCCACGGCTCCTGGACACCAGGAGGAGTCACTAGGGTTGATGGATACGCCAATGGATGCGTGACCTGCGGTCGGTAGTAACGACGGTCAGGAGGAGTGCCGAGCGCTGGCTTTGGTCGATCGGCAGGTCGTCTGCTCACCGCCCCTTCTAGTGCTTCCAGCGGGGATGAGACCGCCTCCTCCAGCCGACCGAAGCGGGCGCTTGTATCGTCTTCCATCCCGCAGATATTGGATCATCTGGTCGCGCCAGATCCGGCTCGGGGGTGGTGGCTAAGAAAGAGACGCGTAGGGCCTCCGCCACTAATGGATGCTGATGCGGACGAGCTCATCGACCAAACGGACTGGGTGGCATTTTGGGAGATGTTGGAATCGGCGTGGTTTAACCCACTTCAGATTTTGTTTCCCACAGCCAGCAGCTCGACGTCGGAGTTGCAGAGAGTCGCCAGTCAGGCGCCCGGCCACTTAATCTGGCTGGTCAAGCGTTTTACAATCCCCGGGGAGCTTCTTTGGATCCTTGATCTATCCGTCTTCGTCCAGACTACGGCAGAGAGCAGGCGCAGCTTTTTGGAGAGGCGGCTTTGGCAGTACCGAGAGCAACCCTTCATTCAGTCGACGATAACTTGGCTCGATTGCTGTATAAGCAACACGCAGCACCGCAACGATTATTTCTTTCTAGCACCGCTTGTGGACAGTTCCAATGATTAAAACGTTTGAGGGCCTAACATTTTGCGGAGGGTGATTTGCTCAGATTCTGCGATTTCCAAAGGGGCTTAAGCTAAGCCAACACTTGGTGCGTGTGCTTGTATACGCTCGGGACATCGAAGCGCTTGCGGAGAGTGTCCCTGCAGCTTTGCGTGTGTCCAATCAGCTCCGTTTCCATATTCGCCTGTTGCGCACAAAATAGCTCTACCGGTAGACCTATCACTCGTCCGCCAATGAGGCTTATTGGGTGCGGATAGAGCGTTTTTTACTCCGGGCTCGCTTGTTTAGAGACAACCACCTACATCGTATCAAGGGCTTTCCCCGGGCACCCCTCACGATGATCTCGTTTTGTCGGCGCTTTCGGGCACGGACGCGTGCGGCTGCAGTGCTTTGCTTCATAACCTCATGGGGTTAACCTCACGCCGGCCGCTTCACCTTGTGGCGGATCAGCGGCTTCTGTTCCAAAACGTCATTGGCTTTAGAAAATACAAACGGGCTCAATAAATGGTGGCTTTGCGTAGGACTCTGGTGAGTTCCCGACCTCTCGTGTGGTGCATACAAGAAACTCCCGTCACGAGTGTCGAGGAAGCAACCAAACTCCGGCAGGAGTGGCGCATGGTAAGGGAATAACAACACGACTCGAGTCAGGTGCCTTTGTATATTTGGACGGTAGGATCCTCGAAGACCAAAAAGTGGATGTTTTACTAACTCCGACTGTCTCGACAGAGGCAATTGCTTGGAATGAAGCCAAATGGACTTCTCGTGCCATTGGCGTTTAAGGTCCAGAATATCTTTATACTAAACGTATACGCTCCTAACCTCCTCCAAGGAAGAGAGAGATGCCTTTTTTACGAGTCTTCACGAGTAGAATTCGATGCCAGAAAAAACGGCCTTGATTGGAGACTTTAACTGTGTTCAGAGACCTCAATCAGACCGAAAGGGGTATTGGACAACCATTCGTACCAAAAGCTTCGCGCTAGAAATGTTACTGGTGGAGTCTAGACTGATTGATGCACGCTTCATGCGGGACCATGCGGATGAGGATAAGGAAAATATGACGGATACATACACTTAATGGGCTGCCAATGCAGCCAGCCAGATGGACCGATTCTACGTGCCCGGCTTATTGGCATCGAAGTTAATCTGGGTTTTAGCTGATCCTCCACCCCTATACCCTGATCATCAGCAAACGTTCCTTAATTTAATAGTTTAACGAACCCGTCCCTCTCACCCCTGCAAAGCGCGAGCGTTGTTTCCAATCCCACCGGCTCAGCCGAACCGGGTCGTATGGGATGTATTACGGGAATTGGTAACACGGCGGGTAGGTTACTTTTTTCTACGCTCTAGGCTCTAGACACCACCGTGAAACGGTGCGTCCGATGTCTCACCGTGGTGGGAACGCAGGAATTAGCGGCGAAAACGCTTTTTCTTGAAAATTAACAGCGTGGGAGAACGCTATTTTTAACACGGCGTCAGTGAATATCAGTCAACGTGGATGAGCTAAGGGAAGCGCATTTGGAGCGTCTTGGGGGAAATTTTTTTTTCTTAGAGCGGTCCACCGAGCGTCTTACATTGTCCTACAAACAGGTCGCCAATCGGGAACGAGACCAGCATGTCTCCTCTTGAACGGCACGCTATGGACACGCTTTTCAACGACATATGTCCCTGGCCAGTTAATTTGCGTCGGAGTGGCCGTCCGTGTTAAGATCCAGCCATCGCACGGAGCCAGTGGGCTCGTTGGCTGAGGTAATCCGTGCGCTTGCGACAATTTCACTGACGCAATTGCTCACTCTTCTTGACAATGTCCGCCTGTTGTTGCCGATCATGGAGGCCGACGTGCTGTCGGTCGTCAGAGGGATCCGTCGCTGTAAAGCGGCGGATCCCGATGAGCTTGAAGATGATCATAAAAGATACTGCGGCGCTGATGGTGCCGGAGTTGGTGGCTATCGGCAACTAAATGCTTGCGGTGACCGCTTTAATCTTATACTTTCTATCGGCTTTCAATATTTCGCTGATGAAGAAAGGGGATGTCCCGACGACGCCATGGACAACCCATCGATATCACTGTTACAAACTGGGTGAAAGGTTTTTGCTTAAGTGATGGCTACGAGGGTTCAGATGTGTTTACCTCTAGTCATTAGCGACTCTCAACTAGGTTTTGTTCACGGAAGCCGTATGACCAAGACAGTGATGATGATAATGGCGCAGCTAACCACAGCGACGAAGCAGCCCGATTTGCCGGCGAAGGGCAGTCACTGTATCCCATTACTGGACTTTTGGAAGGCTTACGATACGGTGGACCGGGATTTTTTTTTGAGAACCTCCGCTTATTTGGGTTTCTTTATATAATTTTTAATCTCATCTGTCGGATCCACACCGGCACGACAGCGAGTTTCGTCGCTAGCGGGGATCAGTCAGCGGCGCTCCCGGGGCCTTAGGGTACCCACCAAGGCTGCCCGCTGTCGCCTCTCCTCTTTTTACTCGTCGTGGAAGTTTTAAGGCTCACCATTATGCAAGACTCGTCGATTGAAGAATTATACGTGCCTGAAAACCGAGCAAATTCATCTCTTTTCGGCATTTGTCGACAATTAAACGCTCTTCTTGGACAAGGCGCAACACATTCCTCATGCTCTCGGTATCGCCTCGACCTTTCGGAATTTGTCTAACCTTATGTACAGCCAGCCAAGAGAAAGCTTCTTTTGTTGAATAGGTCCATCTCCGTCGTGTGCTATGCAGGGATCAATACGGTGCCTTCCGGCGCCACACCAGGTACCTTGGGTATGAGATCGGAACCGGGCAGTTGGGTTTCAAAAATTGGGCTTAGAAAATTTGGACGATTCAGCACCGCCTACTCACTGCGAAGCGTGTGGCGACTAGCGTGGAGAACAGGGTCCTTATCCTGAACTCCATTGTTCTTCCCCCATCGCTCTTTACGGTGAGCGTCTTTGACGTACCTAGGTGGTAGGAGAAGAAGTTGCATAATTTGTACTAGAACTTGTTATAAAAGCATGCGACGAAAACCGACAACAGGCGCCACAAGGTCAGTCCAGGCCCGCTCGTGACGCCCAGACAGGCCGGGAGTATTGGGCTAATCAAATTTTTGATAGACGCCAAGACGCAACGTAGGAAGCATGTCATTCGGTGGCTTACTCAGCGTCAGGACAATTATTTTGACGCTTGGCGGGTCTGGGCCTTGCGGGGATGGCCCTGGATATCGCGCTGTCCATTACACCGGCGCAGGCTAATTGGCGGGTGGGGTCTAGAGGCGGCCGCTCCACGCACCAGGCGTTGCCGCAGGAGACTGGCGAATTGCTAGCGCCTGCCTCAGCGCAACAAGACATCTGGCTGGCGTGGGTTGCAGGTCAATCGCAGGCTCTGCTAGAACAAGCCGCTAGTTGGTGGGAAGGAGAGGGATTCGTGCTCTTGTATTAACACAATTTTCCACGAAGGCCACTCGAAGTCGACGATTTCCCCTCTCAAATTAGCGGTTCTGGCCCCAATTTCATTGGAGTGCTAGCCCCTGAATACGCGATCTGAGCGGTCATATGCTAACCCCTGCCAAGTACGATCGGATAGCGGTATGCTCTCCAGCAACGCTTAAAATCGTGCGCACAGGACCGGTAATTTTTGTGTGTAGAAGGTGCCTTTAAAGCAACACCTCCTCGGTCCTCACTCGGCCGCTAAATTACGGAGGTAGGCGACAGCCATGCTTTTATCCTTCCCAGACCTACCTATTGGGGAGGCGTTTAACTAACAGTCACCACTGCTACGCCGACATGCACCACCGCTCACGGAGCATTACACCTGGCGGCTGCAGGGCGCCAGAATCATTTAAGGAAGACCATCGTCCGGGTCGCGGATCCGACAGTGGTCTTTTGCTTCACACCAAGCAAGTAACGAGCTGCACTGGTTTTTCATAGGTCGGCGTCGGGGCTTATCGCCGATTCCGCAGACCCTCGACGGGCGCTTCGCTGCAAACTCCTGACACGGGGGCTCGTTTTTGAAGCGAACCCGATGTTGTACCATTTTCATTGGTATGTTCCAGACACCACGTCCGACAACCACATCACTCAGGAATCGCTCGCCAGGCTTTCAGGTTTACAATACAGTATTCTACCGCTCCCTAAAGGATTATATTTCCCGTCTCTACGCCATGGCTCTCACCGACGAGCGGTAGAGCGCCGCGCTCCGGCAATATCCGCAACAGGTGTGGGACCATAGTCATGAACTCTCTCATTATCAAGTCTGGGCAGGGTATAGAGTTGCGACACGCCAGCTCAATCTTTACCATGCGGCACGTCTTGAGGACAACAGTTGCAGAAAGGCATCAGCCTGTCACGGGTGTGTCGAGACTGTCAAGCATCTATTTGGGAAGTGCAACTGCGCCGCTGCCTTCTGGCTTAAACTTATCGAGCACTGGACAGGAGAACAAGCGTCTCGCCTGCGGACCCACCAATTACTGGACGCCTGCGCCGGAAGAAAGGCCCCCAGGATACCTTCACATCGGATGACCATCCCTACCGACCGATTTTAAGACGACGTGGCCTTGGCCAACCGTGTATGGACGACCATCTGGCACATTCTAACGACGACGTGCCGGACAAGATTCTGGACTACACGAGCAACCGAGAGTCTTTGGGCCTCGTGCATCCGCCAGCTTCGAGCGTTAGCGAAGCGACAGCATCGACAAGTAGCGTCGGCAATTACTGGGGCAGTGCTTTATGCCGGCATTGAGTTGCTGTAACGCGAACCGATAGGGTTGCCAGTGGTTACTGGCACTGGCCACGAAAAGCCCCCGGGTCCACCGGCGCTTACGTCCTGGCTTAGGTTATACCAGAGATCTTGCACATTCCAAACGCAACGTAATTTGACACTCTGAACCTCTCTCTCTCTCTCTCAATCCTATTAAATTAGAAGGAGTAAATCGAGCAGTTTAGGGTAAAACATAAGGGTGGGGAGGTTAACAAAAACCTGGGGGGGTAGTTGACGCTTCTCTAACTGTAATTTATTTTCTAATCATTTATTTATGTTTTATGTTTGATTGATTATGTTTACCTACATAATGTATCATCAAGCCTCGCTCACCACTCGTTGCGCGCGCTCATCGTGTACTGGCCACTTAGAGCTAGCTGATGCTTTAATCCGTATCAGCCAATCGGTGAGGATTTTTATATTATCACCACTTATGGTAACATTCACGATCATTTTCAACCTTAATGATAATATTCCAATTAGAATGTATCGTAATTAATTACATGTCATAGGCTCACCCCGTTACAAAATAGTTAGTAGGAGCAACTGTTATAGCTGTGTTACAGTGCGAGAGGAAGGTAGAATTACACCAATGGTGTAACTCAGTGCTTAGATTTTATGTCTGAGACTCATCGAGTCGGTGACCATGTCTATAAAGAATATCAAGGTGGATGGTGAAAGGTTGCAGGCATCTTTTAGCATAGTGTTCGACGAGAACATAAACGTACTTTTGGATGAGACGGAAGTCCCTTGTGCTAAGATGCACGAAGGTGTTGCATTCGCAAACGACGATTTTAGATGATGCTCTACCACGTTTACCTTTTGTATCCACGTTGAAACCTGCAACTTCGAACTTCCTACATCGAACTGGGATCAGTGCACTTATCCCTTGTTACGGGCAACGGATAAAACAACGGACGTATCAACACTTGATCGGTAAGACATAGCCTTCGTCTACTACACGTTTGTTGATTGTCTGGCGAGATTGCTCCAGCGTGTTGTAGGCAGTTGCAACCCGTGGTAAGATATCCTCTTTTAAAACGGAAATCCGTACAAGGCGTGTTTTTATTAACATGCTGTCGGTGTCGATGAATTTAAAAGAGTAGCGTGTGTGGTAGAGAGAGCAGAGATGCAATCTTTGCGATAGAAGTGGCGTTTATCTCTGATAATACGACGTATCTATTCGAGGATCTCGAAACTTGTACGAACAATTATTTTAAAATCGTGTAAAGTACGGTAACATGCAAAGGTGGGGTGGTCAACGAAAACGTGGGTTTTTGTTAACGGTTCCCCAAAGTTATGTCGCCTGTTCTGTTTTACCGGCCATAATGCAAGCATAGTAAACGCAAATCTGATAGCTTAGTGTGAGGCTATTTACCAATTGGCAAGCGTCTTCTCGGGAGAAAACATTGTACATAATATCTCCACTAAAAATATTCTTTGAAGCATGTTGAATTATTGCTCAATGCGTGGATTCTTCTTAACCAATCAAACGACGAAAATTACAGTTGCTGTTCGAAAGAGGGAGAAATTCACGAACCACATGGATAAGAGGAGTCAAGCGACGTTGTTTAACGCGCTAGCGTGGATCGACTCGCTCAAGACACGTGAAGAAGGTGTCGTGAATCCGGAAGCCGTCGATGCAGCTCTCAACCGCTTTACGTAAAAGATCCACGTATTCTTTTGCGTTTCTGTGCCATAACGACGAATAATATACTGATTTTTGTAATATTATGTCTATTGGCTCTGATGTGTCTGGTTCGTATTTTCCAGCGAGGCATTTGGCATCAACTTGCAAGACGCTGAGCAGAAGCGACAGCTGGCAGTAAACGGGAACGTCTCATTTGATGAGATCTTTGCTGCCGGTCTCAAGGCTCTGAACCTGACGGTGGGCGCAGCTGATGAGCTCAAGTCTGTGGTGGACGACGATCCCGTCGTCGTGAAGCGTGAGTGCATGCCAGATCATTGTCCGTATAAGAGGAAAAGACTGATCAGTTGCATCGTGTTCGTCTTGCATCGCTGCAGACCCGGAGCTGTGGAAGAAATGGGTGGCCAAATTGGAGACCAAGGGCTTTTTTAACGACGCAGTTCCTGGTACAAGTGAGTACGCTGCTCGCACGTCCAAGGCGCTGGCTAAGTTTAAAGAGAAATTTGGAGACGTGATGCCAGAGATGTCAAAGGAGGAAAAGGAAGCGAAAGCAGAGGAGGCGAAGGCGCAGGGCAATGCAGCACTAAGTCTACAAGACTACGAAAGAGCTGCGAAGTTTTATCGCGAAGCGCTACAACTTTCAGCTCATGGACCGTCGTCTCATATTTACCATTCGAACTTAGCAGCGGCGTTGATGTACTTAGGTCAGTACTCGGACGTGATTGATCACTGTGAGCAGTCGATCTCGCTAAAGCCGACGTACGTGAAGGCCTACTCACGTATGGGTAGCGCACAGGTGCAGCTAAAGGATTTTGACGGCGCGATTGACACGTACAGGCGTGGGCTCGAGTTTGACAGCACAAATGCGGCTTGTCGTGACGGACTTGCGGATGCCGAGGTCAAACGTCGACAGGTGCAGGCGGCCCCTATAGCTTCGGCATCTACGTCGACGCCGTCTAGTGGTGGCATGCCTGACTTGTCGAGCCTGGCAAGTATGCTCGGTGGAGGTGGCGGAGGTGGCGGCGGCCTTGCTGACCTCATGAGCAATCCGCAGATGATGCAGATGGCTCAGAGTATGATGCAGAATCCGCAGATGATGCAGATGGCGCAAAGCATGATGCAGAATCCGGAAATGCTCGGCAATCTCATGGGCGGTGGTGGTGCTGCTCCAAATGCAGCTGCTGGTGGTGGGTTAGGAAGCGGCATGCCTGATTTGAGCAGCCTTATGAACAGTCCTGAGCTTGTGGCAGCGCGATCGGACCCGGACTTGGCAGACTTCTTCCGTGATGTGGACAGCGAGGGTCCGTCCGCCGCTATGCGTCACATGTCAAACCCTAAGGTGTCAAGTCTTGTGCGAAGTATGATGCCTTAGATGCAAGGTTAGTCAGGCGAGCAGCAAAACCAAAACATCCAGTGAAGACCAAATACAAATGCCAAGCAGTGGTGAGTAAGGCTGTTGACGTTTTGAGTTGTAAGCAGTCACGAGCTCCAAGCAAAGCATGTGAAACCCATCCGTTGTTATATTCAGTCTTTGACAAAGCTTGCAGCGTCTTCGAGGAAACTCAGGTACTCACGCTGCTCCTTGAGATCAGCAAACTGCGAGATAAACTGCGCCAACTCATCGTCAATCTTGCGCTCAGCCAGGTAGCCATAGAACTTGTCTTGCACATCAAGCTCCAGATCGATAAAGTCTGGGCCAAAGTACAGCGTCTCGTCCTCAGCGTCCTTGGCAAAATCACTCAAGTAGCGCACGCGTTCCACCGTGAGGTTGCTGCCAGCCACGCAGTCAAACTGCAGTCCCTTGTTGTCGCGGGTCACGTCAGCCGTAAAGCGGACACCCGGCAGCTCGTCCTCCTCTTCGTCGTCGTCATCTTCCTCCTCCTGATCCTGTACCTGTACCTCGTCGTCCTCGTCCTCTTCATCATAACCCTCATCCTCGTCGTCAAGCTCAACAGTATCCTGAGCGTTAAACTTGATCTTGATCGCGTCGTCGCCCACCGAGCCCTGCAGGAAAATGTCCATACATCCTGAAGATTCCTGTAGCTTAAAGACCTTTTCCACCTTGACACGAAGCTTCTCAAGCTCTGGCTCTTCAAAGCAATTAGCTTTTTCTTCCTGCAGCTCGCGCTAAAATATGAGGCAAAATGGTACACAAAGTCAGTTTTTCTAGTCAGTGATAAAGCTTGTAATTATTCCATTAACGCCGTTGCTGGAGTGTGCAGCGTACATTGAGCACAGAGACGAGCGAGGACTTTTCACGAGTCTGCAACGCACACAGCGCGACGGGCGGCGAGCGGCGGGCAGCGGTAAACGTGGCGGCGCGAGCTACTCGGGCGAACATTGTGCGATGGGAGACTGGAATGGGTGGACGTCGTTCGTGGCTATATCAGTAATTTGTCAGATTCGTAAAGCTTAAGATGACATTTTATCTATTTTCGCAGACAGACTTGGTTTTTGAATGAGGAAGTCGCGTTGTTTGCAGACGAAACCCGCCCCAATCTACGGGTACAACAAGCCTTTATCTTGACTTGGACTCTGCGGGCGAATAATGTGCGTACCCTACGTGTATGAGGCCCGTCCTGATGAAACGACTTGTCTGTATATTCACATGATTATTGCTTCGTCACAAGTGGTAACAAATTCGATGGCGGTGATGATATCCTGTAACCTCGAGTTCCGTAAGGTTCCTTCTACTCCAATCCCTCTGACCTTATCGATGCGTGTGAGCGTTAAGCGATACCGTTACACTCGCTCTAAAGGACCTAGAAGAAGTAGGGATGGAAATAGTGAATAACCTTCCATCGAAAGGCTGAAGAGGCTGTTGCGAGAGTCCCACGCACACGCTCTCTAGATCGTGGAAGTACATTTTTCTTATGGGTGATGTAAGAACCTACGAACCTGGAACTGTGAGAGATATGAGATAAAAGGCGAAGCTGAGCCATCATGTTTGCATTTCCATCTTGCTTTTGTCTACAGTAGAGATCTAGCTTCGTAGAGATAGATGCTATCGAAATCTTGGACACTATCGTCTCCCTCGTCGGACAGAAATTTGCTCTTATCGAATGACATGGCGGTAAACCCCCAACGAGCAAGTAGAGGTGCTATAGACCGCTTGAGACTGCGGAGGTGGTAGGTGAAGTAAAACTTGCAAGCGGTTGAACTACTGCAGCGGACGATAAGAGCCACTGTAGCGAGCACCTTCTCGAAATCTGCATTGCAATACCACGACAACTTGTCAATATGAGAATTGCATGGTGAATCCAGGGAGTCAAGCACTAGTGATCCGACCTTCGGACTGGTAGAAACAGTCGGCAGCGAGGACAATATCGACCGTTCGAAAGATCGATAGCACCTCATCTGAAACGTGCATGTCGCCCCATTTCAAAGGAATGAAGTCGGCGCGAGTTTGGATATTGTTAACTTCAATATTGGCTTCGGCGTTCCGTTTGATGTCAGCTGCGTCAGGCCGATCCGTTAGATACACCTTCCTCGCTCCGCACAAGCCAGCGAGAATCGACGGGAGGCCTGTGCCACAACCCAGTTCCAGTATGACATTATTCCGAAAGATTGTATCTGCTTCGCTAGCAATGAATCGACACAACAGATGCGCTGAGGGCCATACGAACAATCCGTAGTGCTTGTCGTTCTCTTCGTGAGCCTCGTCAAGGTCGCGAATAAGTTCCACAAGACGCACTTTGACAATGGACGTCTCAACCGTGCGCTGTCGTTTCGCTTTTATTGGCTCTATACTTGACGCCGACGTTGATGACTCATCCAAGATCTCCTTAGCAATTGCAATCGATCTACAAAGGAACCGGATCGAGCGTGGTGGTGCTGTATCGAAAGTACCCATGCCGCGGCACCAGTCGTGCAAGCAGAACGCGAAGCTATGCCGGACCTTAAGTACCGGTGGAAAAGCGTCTAAAAAAGTTATTCAACTATTTAGTCGATAGGTTTTTCAACCGGCAGAGCCAATTGCTGCAGACCTTAGTTCGACTGGAGGACTACTGAAAACCACGACGCTACTGTATGAGAACACGAGGTTGATGCGAGGATTGTGTCGCTTGGAACAAACGTTGTGCTGCCAATTTAAGTAGTTCTAACGAGCTTATTGAAAATGGTAACAATTAGTGAAAGTACAAAAACAAATATCGTTGAATAGTCACTTGAACGAAATCCAGTTACGAAGTCACATCCTGACTACATGCTCATAGCTCTTAGCAAGATTTCTCCCTTAAAATGATTATGACAAACGCTACCCACACACAAATAATTTGTTAGCAACCCTTAAATAACACCTAGATATTTCAGTTTTAGCATTCTTTTGTTCAGTTTACGAAAAATCAATCCTTAGAAGCAGTCTTTCCTTTTATAACGTAAAGTATCAAATGCATGTCTATGTAATCTGACAGCTATCTTAGGCAATTATGTATAACAATTCCTACTTAATCTATCGGTCTGATATCATTGCAGACCTTGCCACGATTATTTTTAACGGCTTCAGTCACTTATTTCTATTAGCTTCCTCGTACAGGAGGGCTCATTGGGGCTGCCGAAGCCAATATTTGGTGATACGCCACTTATAGCCAGGCTGACTTCACCCCCTCAAATCTTAACGTTTTGAATGATTAAGCAATCTCCGCCCATGTCCGAACAGTGATGGATTCCGCGTCGTGTTCTGCCGAAGGAAATCTATCTCAGCCACTAACGACTTTTACAACCCACATTTAAAATTACGCATATCAGCCGCCAGCATTAGTAATGTGAGCGATCTCACTGGCTGGTAGTAAGTGCTTTGACAGTACCACAATGCTTACTTCTTGCTCTTATAGCGTACTCTTAAACCTTGACTGGGATGAAATCAGACTTCTTAGTGCGCCGAAAACCCCGCAGGGTGATCTTGAGCAACTCGTAAAGTGGCTCCATCACACAGATAAACAGCAGAAAATCTAGAGCGCATCTGCTGGATGCCACACATGACGTCGCGGCTTGTAATTATAGCCGTTCACAATAACTTTACTTTTCGTGTAGGTGTACAGTGCTGCGTCGATATGCACAAAGGTGTCTGGGAAGCCGATTCTTCCCAGCGCAGCGAGTAGAAAAGTCACGCGACAGCAAGTTGTAGTCGTTCGATAAGTATAAGAGAAGTACCAGAGCGCGTCGCATCTCGCAATCTTCGCTGATAATTCATTTGTAGCAGCAAGTATGTCTCCGACAGTCATCATCTTGGGTCCCAGAGCAAGATTGATCGGCAGCGGATGCACTCACTTCCACAGCGTCGACCAGAGTCGTGATGTAAACACTCTAGTACAGATAATGTCTTCGGAGTTCAGTAGGAAATCGGGCGATAATCTAGCGGGAATGATGCGCCCTTCAAGTTTTGATGTCCGCCAGTACCGACTAACCAAAGTTTGACACCCGACGCGGAGTGGCGCTAGCTTGATATTAGGCGTCCTCGGCGGGATTGGGATAGATTTGACGGTCAAAATTTCTCGCTCCGGCACTGACTGATGCAGTACGTTGCGCCGTACTCCATACGCATCCTTTGCAAGCTCCTACGATTGTTGCTGACTTCCCTGTCCTGCATCAGCTTAATGGTTGTACACCGTGTTGTCCTTGTTCTTTGTCAATGCTCGCTGGTTAAAGAAGCGCTGCAACCGCGTTGATGGTGCTAATGTAGCATAATGCATCCTTTCGCTTCTTTCGCTGCCACCTGCATTGCATTACGAGAATAAACTTCGAGCTTTAGACGCCGAAATATCTGGATGGCCCTAAACCACTTACGTGCGGATGCTGATCTCCAAGCTGTCGGTCAGATGCATTATGCGCTGTCGGTGCCCTGTACTTGCTTGTCGCCGCGTGTCCTAGACCGCCTTCACGTTAAATTCCGTGTCTCACTATTTGCAGTGTATCGCCATGTTGCAGTAGCGCGAGCATTGTCCACTGTTTACCGGTGCAAGCGATGGCATTTTCTAGGAGAAGTATCCCATATTACGTCGACGGATTGCTTCTTTGCCATCAAGGCATCATCGTAGAGTAATTCTGATGTCTGATGCTCTAGTCCAGCTCTGCTTCTTCTGCAATGAAGGCGTCCGTTAACACGCCAGTCAGCCATCGACGTCGCAAAAATAGACGAAGCGCATGCTAGTCGTGATTGTCCGCCGCGAAGTGTACGACCGATTACCAGTCTCGATGAGCGTGCAATTCAAGTCAGAAGACAGGAACACAGGACCGCCAGAGCTATGTACCACTTCTGCTAGTGAAATGAACAGTTCTTTCTCTCCGAGGTTTGTACCGGCGCATACACGTTAATGATCGTCAAATGTGTATCGTCGACCATTGCCGTTGCCGCGATCAGGTAAGAGTTCATTATTTATTACGAAATGCGTGCAGTGCCAATGAAATCTAGACTTAGGATAATGGTGCTTCGCCAGCTCGTCCGTCGCTTAGACTCCAGAGCAAAAGTGCTGGTAAACACCATCACGAAATCCCCACGAGTGGACGCCGTTTCTTCTGCCTCAGCTGTTTCGACCTAAGCTACCCGCCGTATCCTTTTAGCACGTAACATCGATTAAGACGTTCAGAATCCGCTAACGAAAGTGAACAAAATTGCGGTTCTATCGTTCTGGGTTAACCATCAGTCCCATCGCCTCCTGCGTGATAAAAATCCCTCCACGTCATTGCAGATCCGCGCCTGACCCACTAAATATGTTGTTTTTAGTTTGTTGTGGACGCACTCTTCGTGTCGTGGAAATACCCTTCAAACCGACGGGTCGAAAGCTGTCTCGCCCAAATTGTAAGACGCCAAGAACGGCAACCAGCGCCTTAATTTCGATAAAGAATTAATAACCTCTCTTGATTTAGCATCATCTTCGTAGACTCTTGCACACGCTTCAGATAAATTAATACTATAGCTATCCTGCTTGAGGGAGTAGTTCGATGTCAAATATATAATCTTCCTCCACCGCCTTATTGCGTGTTGTACAATTTCCATTGTCGCACACCGTGTTCAAAATACCTAACCAACGTTAAACGTATTTGTAACATCTATGGCAGCCGGTCGTCCAGGGTATCTTCCTTCGTGTAATGGTCAGTCAGCGCGAGTGAGCGTTGCTTCGTATTGGTAGACCAAAAACGTGCGAGTGAGTGTTTTTACATATAAATCGAACCAGAACGCCCACGCCGTCTTCATCTACTGTGCAGATCGATAGGAATTAACATAATAGCCGTGATACTGCCCTGCAGACTGTAGGAGTAGTGCCAGATCCAACTTTTGTTTATTCCTCTAACGTTCTTCTATTTGGCGCCTCGGCAAAAAAAACCTCGCCATGTTGCGGACGCAATGTCATTCTTCATCTTTAGGCAGTTGCATCTAGGTATCTCGATTTAGGTCAGTTGCACGTGAGAATCTGTCGTTAAAGCAGCTTAGTGAGGTCAAACTCGTCTGGCTGTCCGTTGTTGCAACAGCAACGACACTGCCGCTGATCTATTGAGGGCTTCCTCGGATTGCCGCCTCATTTACAGATGTAGCCTCAGTATACATCGTCGCCTCGTCACCGCTGACTAAGGATGCTGAAGCCTTGTCGGCGTCGGTGCCAATGTCTGAGGCTGGCGAGCAGCCGTTGTTCCCGTTGTTTATAGCAACTGGATACTCCACGTTCGATGCATCCTAAACCGCTAAAGCATTTCCGGTATGCCAATACCCAACTAGCTCTGCGGACATCTTGGCCACCATCCTCCTCCTTAAGTCGTCCTCCGTCTTTAAACAACGCAAAGTAATATACTAATTTTTCACCGCTGCCTTTGCATTCACGCACGCAGAGACCTCTATTTATGATCTTTGGCTTTGCGGCACGCCATATTCTCTAGCTGCTGTCGCTCGTCGCAGATTGACCAAGGGTCGAGATGATATCTACTTGCGCTAAAATGTTGGCTGTCTCATTCTTACCGTTCGTACAACATTGTAGGGTTTCGTTTTCTATTGCCAGAGCTGCCACTACAAATGTAAATCTTTCCGATGAAGTAACCGAGTCGGAGCCGTGTAGTCCTTCCTAAACTGGTTAACGCATCGGACAAGCTGGCACGGTCCTCGATAGCTATTCCGCTGAAGAAACCATACCATTTTAATCACTGTCGCTACTTTCTCGATGAGGAGCTCGTATTTCCAATCTAGTTCCGTAGGCCACTTTATCGATCCAAAGCTCACTCGTAAACCATCGATGTGTGCCGACATAAATTTGCGTTTTCAGCATCGCGTTACGCGACTAAAAGCACAGATGTCAACGTCGTGGCTACGACACACGCATGGATCTTTCCTGAAAAGATTGCGCTCTTGCCGAGAATGTGCATTTCGAAAAGCATCGAGTTCACGGCGTCCGTGTAGCCTACTATCTTTGTACAAGTTTATGGCGACCGCCACAGAAATCATGAGGCGAAGCTTATCACTCGTAGGTCGTCCTTCGATCATGCATCCGTCGTAGGGCACTCATTAAAAACAAGAGCAGCAAGAAAAGAGAGTCTCGAGAACTCTATGCGCTATAGAGACATGATAATTTTGTTCAACGCTCCATTGCTTTCGTGTTGCTGGACCCGCGAGCAAAAGGCTGAACAGTTTCCCTCGCATTGCCGACCTCAGGTAGGAAGAGCCCGCTATAGAGTCATGATAAAATTTTACATACTTTTTCGCTTCCGTGTTGCTAAATTCGCGAGCAATAGACTGAACAGTTTCCCGCGCGTTTCTGACATAAGGTAGAAGAGCCTGACCAGCACTTACGCGTAAGATCGTGAACCAGTGCACTTTACTGTATCACGTAGATTGACTCATTGATTCTGTATAACGTTTTGAGCCTTAAC